AACCCAATTGAGCATCTCTGGAGAGACCTAAAAATGGCTGTCCACCAACGTCTACCATCCAACCTGACAGAACTGGAGAGGATCTGCAAGGAGGAATGGCAGAGGATCCCCAAATCCAGGTGTGAAAAACTTGTTGCATCTTTCCCAAAAAGACTCATGGCTGTATTAGATCAAAAGGGTGCTTCTACTAAATACTGAGCAAAGGGTCTGAATACTTAGGACCATGTGATATTTCAGTTTTTCTTTTTTAATAAATCTGCAAAAATGTCAACAATTCTGTGTTTTTCTGTCAATATGGGGTGCTGTGTGTACATTAATGAGGAAAAATTAGAAAAATTTAAGGGGGTCTGAATACTTTCCGTACACACTGTATGTATTAAGTGCACGTTTGTAATAAACAAATTCATCATTAACACATTTTTTACTTAAAATACGAGTCCTCATAATATTGATTTCTCCAGTTAAAAAGTTCTCTCATCTGAATCAGGAGAAAACCATGCACAGATCAAGCATTGTTTACAACACCATAACGATGGATTTGTTTACTACGAACACGCAGCTTTTTGCTTCACAAGATGTTAATTGATGGAGTGGTGTGGATTATTGTGACGTTTTTATCAGCTGTTTGGACTCTCATTCTGACGGCACCCATTCACTGCAGAGGATCCATCGGTGAGCAAGTGATGTAATGATACATTTCTCCAAATCCGTTCCCATGAAGAAACAAACTCATCTACATCTCGGATGGCCCAAGGGTGAGTACATTTTCAGCTAATTTTCATTTTTGGGTGAACTATTCCTTTAAGCTTGCTCCTCATTTACCTCAACAAAGTTGTGAATAGCTTCCAGGTAAGCCAGGTTATTGTCCGTCACATCCACACAGATGCAGAAGTACAGGCCAGCGTATCGCCTATAAATGATCTTGAAGTTTCTGAACTGCAGAGGAATACAATGTATAACATGTAAGACCACATATAAACACCTTTATCTGTACATTTCCTAGATAAGACCTTCAAAACGACACATGCCATGTGTGATGTCGATTTTACCAATCCCATACGGATACATATTTCAAAAATGATCAAATTGCATCCTTCTAACTTTTTGATGCACAGGACACAATGCGGAGTAATCCATACGGACCTCTGAACCACAGCAAGTATAACATGTTAAAAGGAAGTGTTGTACCTCTACAAAGTTGGTGTGTTTGGCATCACGGACTGTCACAACGGCATGAACCTCTTCAATCAGCTTCTGCTTCTCATCATCATCAAACTGCATGTACCACTTGGCCAGCCTGGTCTTCCCTGCCCGATTCTGGATGAGGATAAAGCGGATCTGCACAAGAACAACAGGAGAACAAAGTTTAGACCTAATTCTCACAAATCATTCCGCATTAACATGTCACATGCTTTTTGTATGAATAATGACAACGCATTGAACTATTTTAATAGCTAAAGATGCATGAGCTGCCATTAGAGATGTATTGTGTACTGTATTATTTATATGAAAAGACATTATTGATATATATAATAGGCAAACTAAACAGAGCTTGCATCAAATAACTAGCAATGAGCATTTAGCTTCATTCATTCATTCAGCGTTATTTCTATTCTGACCCGAAAGAGAATAATGAAAGTCTGATTATTTTTTTTCCACTGGATACTATGTTCAAACACTAAATGTCTATATAGTTTGATTTATGACCTTGGTCGTGTTGTTATAATCGACATGTCACACTAGCCTGTTAGCTGAAAAGAACAGACAGGCGAACTAATCAAAATAAGTGATCGTAACAAGCAAAAATAGGCATCTACACTTACCATTGTGCTCGGTATTTATCGTTCACGGTGGTCTGAGTTATTTCAATCAATGTTTAATTGATTTAATTACGAAATATAGCAGCCTCAGACTGGGTTTGCTTCTGTAGCCTTGCGCTATCGTCACCGGACAGGATGCGAGTAGAAGCCGTTGGTGCTAGGAATGATGGGTAATGTAGTTTTGTAAGCTAGCTGTTAACATACTAGGAATCAAGACAATGTTCCGTTTCGTACTACAATTACAATCTTGCACCGGGGTTGAACTGTCAAGGATAGCGCAAGGCTTAAAGGTGATATGACTTTTGCTTTTTCTGCTTTTTCTTGATTTTTATAAAGCTTTTGACTCCATTGAATTTCCTTTTATTCTTAAGTCCTTGAGTATTTTTGGTTTTGGCCCTAATTTTATTAATGCAATTCAAACTTTGTATAATAATGCCAATGCTTCAATTAAATTACAACATGGTACTACTCATAGGTTTAATATAGAGAGAGGCATTCGTCAAGGCTGCCCTATCTCGCCTTATCTTTTTCTGCTTCCTATGCAACTTTTAGCCATCCAGTTGTTCTTCTATTGCATAATAAAAAAAATAATAATAATAAAAAAAAAATTTAAAAAAAAAGATATGACTTTTGCTTGGGTTAGTCACTGAATTAACATATATTTATCGTAATAAAGTTAATAGTTAATAGAAGACCTTAAAATAGACCCCAGGAAGCATTTGAAAAGAATAGAAGAGCTGAATTAATATGAATGGTTTTATGAACGTTGATCCAGGGGGTTTCAACCTTTACAGAACCAGGGATACCCAACGTAACTAGCTTACAATAAATGTATATATAATTCTTGTACCACATTTTGACATTTGACAATTTGAAATATGTCATATGTCAAAAAATTTTTTTTTTTAAATATCGTTGTTTGTTTGTTTTAATGCTGTAGACTGTTTTATACATTTATTTATTTATAAATTACTTTCTATCTATCTATCTATCTATCTATATATACATTTTATTAACATGGTCTGATCTATATTTAATTTTAATTAATTAATTTATTTTTGTATAATTGTGAAAGAGCAAATTTTCGGTTCCGTCCAAATGTATTAACAATAATGTTATTTATTATTATTATTATTATGTTAGCTATTATTATTTTGGTTTCAACTTTTATATAAGAGGGAGAATGCTTGAGTGCATCTTTGCTCATTTGAATTTATGCCTTTTTGTGAGACTTATTCCAACTATACACATCAAAAACAATAGCATTTAATGGCCCCTGCAGAGTGAGTTCAGTCTGAATGCATGCATCATAGCCTTTTGCGCATTTCTTGCCATATTTCTGGACACCTCATATAAAATGGAGAACCAGATCTGTGTTACATCACCACACCTCTGTTCTGTACTTCAGCTTTTTTAAGGGTAGTAAGTTTGTCTTCTGCAGAACATTGTCCAGATAACTTGGACAGGGTCTCTGCACATATTCAGAAGGGGGTTGGGGCTCTGATTGTTAAGAGATTGCACAACTGTGAGAGCGAAGAATGTGGTGGCCCTGGGGACTTAGAAATATTTCAGCTGCAGTCTAGAGGTGGGAGCTGAGACCTTCGCAGTTTCTTTACTTCACCAAAAGCAGTTTGTTGTGAAAGGCTGCTGGGTTTTTTTTTTTTTTCATTTTTGAACTGTGTCATGATAAATACTGCTATGATTAACTGCAAATAACTGGATTTAGCGTCTGTTTCTGTAATATCAAAACCACACTATAGATTTGTAGGCCTATTTATAGATAAAAACAGAACTTTTTATTAAACTTTTACCCCAAGTGACTCTCTCTGATTGGACTCACAATATGATGGCGAGACAGAAACAGAAACTTTTTAAGAGCCAAAGCTGAAGGCAATTACGAGTACAAATCTATAGTTTATCACCTTGACAATAGAGTTTGAAACTGTTTTATTTAAAAAGGGAACAATTATGAGGCTGCACAACATTTGAAGAATTCAGAAAAACTTTGTGCAGAGTCGTGGGAAATGATATTATATTGTATTATGGGGTCAATCATTAATCAAAAATGTCATAGAAAAGTGCTTGTCATTTGTCACATTTTTAATATTCCAATAACCAGTGTTGGGGAAAGTTACTTTTAAAGCATTACAATATTGCGTTACTCCATAAAAAAAGTAACTAATTACGTTACTTAGTTACTTTTTATGGAAAGTAATGCGTTACGTTACTTTTGCGTTACTTTTTAAATCTGGACAGGGCTTGCACAGTAAATTTGAAATCCGGAAAACAACACCATCAGAGTTCATTCCAACACTTTGAAAGTGTATATATGAGAACCACCCACAAAGTGTTAATTTAACACTTTCAAAAGTGTTGCATCGTGCAACACCAACACAGTGTTAAAATATGAACACTAAGAGAGTGAAATATTAACACCGATGCAGATAAAAGCAACACTGTTACAGAGCTGGGTGCAGCTTTGTAGGAAACACTGGCAGAGTTCAAATTCTACACTATTCCGGTGTTGACTTGACACTTTGAAAATCACAATATACTCAACTTTATAAAAGAGTCAAAAGTTACACCATCCTGGTGTTGATAGAACACTTTTTTGGGAGTTACTTTCTTATTATGGTTCTGCATAACCTACTAAAAAACTAACAAACTGTAAAATAAACTAGAAATTCACTATGAAGAAAACGTCACTCTGTTACGGTTTCAAAACTTTATTTCAGCACAGAGCAAGAAACCATAATGCCATGACATTATTACAGATAACAGTCCACAACAATGTAAAAAAGACTGTCATTGCCATAGGACATTTGTAAATCAAATGGCTTGTAGTACATCAATTCCTCAGGTTTTTTTAGTACAAGACTGTGCTCTTGTTCAACAACACTGAAAGCATGAAGGTGTTCAACAAACTCTGATTCCATACACGATGCCAAAAAATAAATTCCATCCTTAATAAAAATTCTAACAATCTTTCCAAAAACAGGTGCATCATCAACAAAATCTAAGCAAACAACAAGACCACTGCGATACTCAGTACCATGACACTTTACCCTCGGTGTGACCATTACCTCGCTAGAGATATCAATCTGGAGCTGCTCTGAAATAAAATCACAGTTTATAAGGTCAGACAACAGTTCATTTGAAACGGGGCCAGACTCAATACCCTTGATAGTACAGGACTCCCAGTGATACGCAATGGCTAGCTGGTGTTTTTTTGCAAGTGATTTGGTCAGGTTTTTGAAATTTTTTAGATTTCTCTTAAAAAGCCTGTGTTTTGCCTCATACCTCATTGTCCACACATGAATCAATGGGCCAATTTGTCTGATGCATTCAGGGTAGTGAATCATAAGGTGGTGTTTTGGAATTAGATTCCTAGGATACAAATCCTTGAACAACTGATGATGCTCTTTTATCAGATGCTTCAAAAATATTATCATTCCTTCAGAGATGCAAGGAGAAAAGATAATATTAACAATATGTAAGAGCAGCAACATCAAATGCCAGTGTTTATCTCCCTCTGGGACTACATCTCCAAATATGAGAGGGATGTTCTTAACGAGACACAATGTCTGACTTGCATTGAGACCAATGTTGTTTCCTGCTTGTTGAAGGTTGACCTTGGTTGGGCGGTTATTTCTTTCCAAAAAGCCATAGTTGAAGGCATACAATCTTTGAGGAATGGAATCGCCAGAAATTAGATTGCAACTCATATATTCAAAAAGCAGTTTCACTTCATACTGCGCAACTCCCTCCAGGATATCATGCATAATATCCAGCACAAAGTTCTCAGATACATTAAAGTAAATCAAGGTATTGAGTATAGAATTTCTTTTAACACCATAACAGGAGTTTTCATTGGGGTTGATACTTGTAATGCTCCTCATTTAGATTTCTATTACGCAATATCACCCGTGGATCATCCTCACTAAATACTTCCTGTGCTAACACCTTGTCAGTGAGACAGAGTCTGCAGTAATGTTTTGCAGAAAAAGATTCAACATAACCAAGAATACTATTTAGACCTAGGTTATCACCCGTAATTTGCGCAATAGTACCAAAGATGGGCTCCTTAGAAAATGACACCGTCATTCCCTTCTGCTCAAGTACTTTCACGTCATCAACCAATGGGGCGAGTACTTTGTCCATGCCATACTTTTTTCCATCTTCAGAATGGAACAAAGAAATTAGATGTATGTTCATTAAGGAAGAGTTAATGTGTGCTGGCAGGTTACGAAGTACAAAATATAAACAGCCAAGTTTATGAATCCCTGCTTTAGATCCTAAAGGGTTTGCGGTTTCAAAATCATCATAGTAAATTTGGATCTGAAGTGCATTGCTGTGGATGGAGTACAAAGGATGCCATTATCTCGCTAGAAATATCAATCTGGAGCTGCTCTGAAATAAAATCACAGTTTATAAGGTCAGACAACAGTTCATTTGAAACGGGGCCAGACTCAATACCCTTGATAGTACAGGACTCCCAGTGATACGCAATGGCTAGCTGGTGTTTTTTTGCAAGTGATTTGGTCAGGTTTTTGAAATTTTTTAGATTTCTCTTAAAAAACCTGTGTTTTGCCTCATACCTCATTGTCCACACATGAATCAATGAGCCAATTTGTCTGATGCATTCAGGGTAGTGAATCATAAGGTGGTGTTTTGGAATTAGATTCCTAGGATACAAATCCTTGAACAACTGATGATGCTCTTTTATCAGATGCTTCAAAAATATTATCATTCCTTCAGAGATGCAAGGAGAAAAGATAATATTAACAATATGTAAGAGCAGCAACATCAAATGCCAGTGTTTATCTCCCTCTGGGACTACATCTCCAAATATGAGAGGGATGTTCTTAATGAGACACAATGTCTGACTTGCATTGAGACCAATGTTGTTTCCTGCTTGTTGAAGGTTGACCTTGGTTGGGCGGTTATTTCTTTCCAAAAAGCCATAGTTGAAGGCATACAATCTTTGAGGAATGGAATCGCCAGAAATTAGATTGCAACTCATATATTCAAAAAGCAGTTTCACTTCATACTGCGCAACTCCCTCCAGGATATCATGCATAATATCCAGCACAAAGTTCTCAGATACATTAAAGTAAATCAAGGTATTGAGTATAGAATTTCTTTTAACACCATAACAGGAGTTTTCATTGGGGTTGTCAGCAAGATACTTGTAATGCTCCTCATTTAGATTTCTATTACGCAATATCACCCGTGGATCATCCTCACTAAATACTTCCTGTGCTAACACCTTGTCAGTGAGACAGAGTCTGCAGTAATGTTTTGCAGAAAAAGATTCAACATAACCAAGAATACTATTTAGACCTAGGTTATCACCCGTAATTTGCGCAATAGTACCAAAGATGGGCTCCTCAGAAAATGACACCGTCATTCCCTTCTGCTCAAGTACTTTCACATCATCAACCAATGGGGCAAGTATTTTGTCCATGCCATACTTTTTTCCATCTTCAGAATGGAACAAAGAAATTAGATGTATGTTCATTAAGGAAGAGTTAATGTGTGCTGGCAGGTTACGAAGTACAAAATATAAACAGCCAAGTTTATGAATCCCTGCTTTAGATCCTAAAGGGTTTGCGGTTTCAAAATCATCATAGTAAATTTGGATCTGAAGTGCATTGCTGTGGATGGAGTACAAAGGATGCTTTTTGTAATACTGTCCATCACAAAAATCTCGATACATGTCACTTTGCCGTTTCTCTTGGATAAGATTACACACATTATCATTCCTAAAAATGAACTCAAGAGTCTTCAGAAGAGGGATATATATGAAAGTGTCATTAACTGTTGTCTGTTCATACATTCCAGAGATTTGATTTCTTCTTGAATCGTATCTGACGCCTAAGTGTATTTCAATAGGTTCAACAACCCCCCATTTCTCACTGAAATATTTTCTCCATTTTGTATCGGTATTAAAATCAGAGAATGGATTATTAAAACTATTAAACACTTCTTCAACTGAACTTCTACTTGTGCTGTCAACAGGCACAACATTTAAAGTGTTTTCTCTTAAACTTGTATGGAAATCATTAACAAAATCCTCCATGCTTTCAACAACTGACATAATTACACTGTTTGCAACACCGTTACCCTGTAATTTGGCTATTATTGATGCACACCTTTCCCTCGAGCTATCCCTTGAAACAGGAGAACATTCATGCAAACTCGCATCATTATCTGATCTTTGCTCTGTGTCAGACACAACAAGTGACACGGTTTCATTGAGATCTGGAGCTTGTTGATTTTGTAGAGATACAATTCCACTGCTTGATGCTACACCCCTAAAATGAAATCTAGTTAAATGTTTTCTAAACCCTTCATAACTTTTAAATTGCAAGGAACAACCATCCTGATCACAAACCAGATCAAATTTCTTACCAGGATATAAACCATGTACAAGTTTTAGGTGCCGAATTAATTTAGCTATTGTAGCAAACAGTGATTTACAGATGTAGCATCTAAACATCATTCAAAAACTTAGCTCTGAGCTCCTTTACTCTTGGGCTCTCACTCGTGGTGCCAACATCAATTCTGTACACTGTAGTCTGGAGAAAATTGTACAAATTTTTGAGTGGAGGATCATAACTGAGGCTGAAAACAAAATGAACCTTGAAGAGTTCATCAATGGCTGCCAGTGAAGAGGATTCTTGACAGGGGATGAGCTTTTTATCCACCACAATGAAGTAGTGACTGATGGCTTCCTTGCTGCTCCCTGAGGCAAGAATGTATGGCTGACGATTCTCTTCCAGCTCAAGGTGTTCCTGGATACTCCGACATGCCTAAATGGGGGGAAAAAATTAAGTCTATCAATAATAATGATAAATTAATAAATACAGCTTTATCAGTTAACATTTATTTTAGACTTTTTAGTTTATTTGCACATTGTAAAGACCGGGAAACACTCCAAAACAAAACAGGCCATCCACCGAACAACTGTTAATTTCAGTTTAGATTTAGATCAGATTTAGATTAATTTGATCAACTTTCTATATTAACATTTTACAGTTTATCTAATAGTGCAATATAAGATGAAGAAATGACTGAATCGATTCAAAGTGTAACGCTTATAGCCCTTGTATTTTGGCACCAGTGTACCAGTTACCTACTTTGTGAAACACCACCAGATGGTCAATAGCCTGTGAAATACTGATCCTTTGGATTTTCTTTCTTCCTGAAGCCTGGGGTGATAGGAGATGCAAAAGTAGAAGGAAGGATGATATGTTTAACATTTAATTATTGCAGGTTTGCGTCATATTCTGAGTTGCATTATTTTTATTCATTTTGAGGAATACTGAATCAGTTTTTTTTTTTGTGAGTGAGATGAATTCATGCATATTCATATTTATTTTAGAACTACAGTAGCTGATTTCTCTCAGCATGGGGACAGGAGAGCTTTCAATCAATAAATTGGAGAAAAAAAAGTAACTTGCGTTACTTATTTGAAAAAGTAACTCAAGATATTCTCTTGTAAATTAAAAAGTAATGCGTTACTTTACTAGTTACTTGAAAAAAGTAATCTGATTACGTAACTCGCGTGACTTGTAATGCGTTACCCCCAACACCGCCAATAAATACCACCACTGGGGTAAGTTATATTTCACTTCCACTTATATTTAATATTCCACTTACCACTGTTGGGGTAAGTTGTCACAGTGGAACCTGCCATTAAATAGCATATCATAGGCTTTTCATCCAATTCTTTTTTTAAATTTTAGTATTGTTTATATGGTGCTACTATGGCATAGTTTTATAGTTTAGAATTATTTCTGTAATACTTATAGAATTTTAAGCATTATTTCTATAACACATATACACAATTAGTTTTGATCAAAATCCTTAATGAGCTTGTATTTTTACAATTTTATTTATTTTTTGTGTAATTTTGGTATGTGCTTTTGTCATTTTATTAGTTTGTTTTTTATTGTTTTTAAATTTCGCTAGTTTTTGTTTAATAAATAATATATTTTATTTCCAGTTTAGTAATAAAAAAAAAAAAAAGACTTTCATTTAATATCCATATTTGATTTTTATTTTACTTCAGCTTTATTTCAATTAACATTTCTTAGTTTAGTTTTAGTTTAGGCGACAACTCGATCGGTGACAACGATGAAAAGTACCCTTGTTCTGGGAACAGGACAAAAAAAATCCCTTAATATCTTTATTATAATATAATATTGCTATTATTTAATTTCATGTTTTGGATTTGATTTATTATTGAATTTTACAAACCAACATATAATCAAATACATTTTTTTGTAGGCTAACTGGACTTTTGACTCAAAAAAAGTTGCTGAGATTGTCCCATCCTCTCCTCTGTATATGGACAATGTTTGTTACTGACAAGCATCTTATTTGTTTTGTAAGAAAACAACAACAATAACACCAATCCTGATTCCACCGGACTAACAGCAGCACCTTTAGATACCACATATGCTGGCGTTATAATAAATACTGTGTGTGTGTGAGAGAGAGAGAGAGAGAGAGAGAGAGAGAGAGAGAGTGTGAGTGTGTGTGTGTG